GGGTTGGTTCACCCAGCTCTAACAAGGGCCAAGGCTTTTAGCTGTCGTTTATGGCCTTCCCCCACAGCCAGCTAAAAGCGTGGCATGGGCTTGGCGCCATGAGCAGAGCACCACCTCGTCAGTCTCCACTACCGCTTTCCACGGGGTGTGGGATTTTCCCTGGTGCGCGCCAACCGCACACCCACTAGACCCAGCCTGTCCCGGTGGAGGACTGACAGACGCCCGGCCCTGAGGCTGAATGGCTGTCGGGGTCCACTGCTCTGTTTATGAGCTGCGAGAGTGAACAGTTAAAATGCGTTAAGTAATAACTGGGCTTTCATGAAAGCCCAGTTATTGCTCTTTCACTGCCATGATTATTATCATGTGCTTTCCCACCAGCTTCTGCACGGTTTCCTGGCCACATTGGCAATGACAGCCAGCGTACCCTGCAGGATTGCCGTACGATGCTGCAGGGCCACGATTAAATTGGCCTCACAGCAGTAACACCAAAAAGATGGGTCTGCTGACAGACCCAATGTCCCTTGGTGGCTGACGCTTGGAGTGGCAGCGCCGCGGCCTTCAGAGGGCTGGCTGGCCCTCCCTGCCCTACTCCTTTGTTCTCCTCCATCTCTTTGTTGGAAATAGGGAGAAAAGATGAACAGTGTCTCCTCAGAGATGATCAGTTTGAACGTAGACCGCTCACTGGAAGTGCCATCAAAACGCGTCAGGATTCATTTCCATGTGCTTCCTGGTGTTGTGTAGAAATAAGAGAGAGAGAGAGTGGGAGGATTTTTTTTTTAAAGAGAGGGAAAGGGAGAGGGGGAGGGGAGTTGGACAAATTTTATAAAAACAGGGATTAGAGAGATGAGGGGGGGAAAGATTTTCGAGTGGATAGATGGATGATAGGGAGAGAGAGGGGAGTATAGCTAGAGTAAGAAAGATTAGAGTGAAAAAGATGAGAGAGAGACAGGAAGAAATTAGATAATATGGAGCAATAGATGATTGATAGAGATAGTGAAACGTAGCTAGCTGAAGTAGATTAGACAGACTAAATAGGTAGAAAGATGGGCTGACTGACAGATAGGTATTGTGTCATACTTCATAAACGATATATATGCTAATATTCCCATGTCATGATGGGTGGTAAACCCTGAGACACCTTCCAGCCTGACCTCAATTCAGCAGATGTAGCGCGGACATCAGGCATTGCTTGGACCGTATGTCAGGTCTCACCACCCTGCCCGTTTCTGCCGTGGAAGCGGGGGGGGGGTGGATGGTGTTTGGGGAGGGAAAGCGCTCTGACGGACGCGGGGGGCCGAGGCGTAGGGAGGAGAGGCGTAGAGTATGTTTGCTGTTCATAGCACGCGAGCTGCCCAGCCCAGCTCGGACGTTGCAGACGCCCCGTGTCTCTAGCACCGAGTTGAGAGAACTGAGGTTCAGTTCTCAGGATTTGTGGGAGAGGTGTTTGGGAGGAGGCAGGAAGGAGAGAGCACGGTTTTTGTTTAGCCTCATCTCCTGTCATGACCATTTACAAGAGTTTTCTTAAGGACTGTCTTGCCTGTTTCTGCAAAGACCACGTGGTCTCCCTGCTCTTCTGACTTCAGACCCCAAACTTTTCATCTTGACTCCACTTTACTATTACTATTTTTAACTTTATAAGGAAAAGAAAACTGCCTCTCTGTCTTCCTGGACATAGGCCTTCCTCCCTCCTCAAAACCAGAAACATTTTTCTCTCCCCAGGGACGTTTTATCTTTGTATTTCGCATGTTGCCTCCCCCTTGGCTGATGGTTGGGGCATCGCATGTGTTTTGTCACCGTTCGTAAGAACATACTTTGCCATGTTGCTTAGAGAAGAAAGGGTTGGGGTTTGTGTTTTGGTTTTTTCCCCCACAAAGAGAACGGGGTATGTGGTTACCAACTGCAAACCTAAATAATTTAAATACTAATTCCTCTCCCTTGGTTCCAGTTTAAAACTGCTAGCTGTAACCAAGCGATCCTGCCAGAGAGTCAGGGCAAAGAGAGCGTGAGAGAGAGCACACAGACAAACCCTGCCTTGAGCAGGCAGCGGTTTAATGTGTAATACACAAGATTTGTATAGGAAGCTGGGCTGTCTTCAGAGTACAGGAAGAGAGCAGAGCAAAGCATTTGGATTTCCTTGAGTTGCCTCTTCAGCCAGATTTTAAAAGGCTAAAAGGAAACAGTATAAAGGATGTAGCATGGGATGGAAACTGGAAGGAGAACAGGGGTATTTGAGGAACGATTTTTCTAGCAGGATATCAAATGAGCTGAGAGCAGCACAAGAGGCAGGAGGTCCCAGAAGTAAAGAGTGGAGCAAAGAGTATCCAGCAGAGTAGTTGGAGCTTTTCTACTACTCCTGATGCAACAACCAACACGAATTCCCCAGGGAGTATATATCTAATCCTCTCTCCCTGAAGAGGATATAGCTTTGCCTGGAGGTGTCTGTGGTTGTGACTTTATGTATGGAGAGGGAAGGGCATGTCAGAATGTCTCATACTGGGAATACGGTGCCTGACCTCACGTACAGTGCTATGGAAATTCAGAGTCCAAGAGGGGCTTTTTCCATGCCTCTGTGGTAAGATACGCTAGTGATCCACATCTATACTGAATGCTCGTACCAGCTGTAGGCCAGCTCTTGACATTTCACCTCATCTAGACTAAGCCTTGGAAAAGTATAAAAAATCCCAACCTAGCACCCCCCCGCCAATGCAGTAGATCATTCGCATGAATTTGGTCTGCTTTGCAACGCTTGTGGCAGCCACAGACTGTCTGCACAGATTGCATACAACAACCCACAACCCTTGCAATAGTTGCATCAGCCAAGAAGCTCCACCGTGAGCCACATTCCAAAGGGAGGGGAAGGGCATCCTGCTGAGATCCCTTCAGACCCAGTGTTTTCCAATCCCAAACCCTAATGCAGCCCCATGAGAGGCCTTAGCTAGAAGGAACTCACCTATGGTGACAACGTAAACACCATTGCTTGGGGAATGTGTTACTCTAAATGAAAGAAAAGGCCATGACTGGAGGAGAGGGGTTTAGAAAGAAAGGAAAGACGAAAAAAAGAAAGAGGGAGTTCATACCAACTCCCCACGGGAGTTATTTCTTTTTTTCTGCAGTCTCTGAATGGCAAACTAGCATGTGAGGCTTTTTGTACTGAAGGTCTGGTGTTTGTCACAGGTGTCTTAGGAAGAAAACAGAGCGGCTGTGGTTTGCCGAGGTGGAGGGAAGGGTCTGAATGAATGTTTCTGTGGCCCCTCTTGGCTAAGAAGTCCGTTCGGTGGTCACCTGCAGCTCAGCTATGTGGGGGGTGGGGGCGGGGGTCCTCTTCCAGGCCTGTGCTCAGAGTCCCTGCTTTTCCACATTGCCACATTAGCACTTTCACTGGATATTTAGAGCACCTCAGGACTGGTTCTCCTCTCGCTCACACCGGGGTAACTCAGGAGTCGCTCCACTGGAACCAGTGGTGTTAATCTGGTGTGAAAATAATGCGAGAGGAGGATTCAACTCCTCGGGGGGGGATTTTCCAGGTCCCCGAGGGGGAAAAAAAAATCAATGGGAGTTACATGTCTAACTGCCACTTGTGCCTGTGAAAGTCTGCCCCTTATCTACCCATATGTATACAGGGTACAGTTTTCAGAACAACCTAAGTGACGTGGGCACTTGAGAGCACACATTTCACTGGCTTTCAAAGAGACGTAAGCTCCTAAGGCCCAGATGCCGAAGGATGTCCAAACTCCTCTCTGCAGCGAATTTGGCGTCTCAGGCCTAAAATTCTCCAGTCATTTTCCAAAATGGAACTGAAGATCATGAGTCATTTAGGTGGTCCTGAAAGCACTACCCTCTATCCATTTTTCAGGGTGTTGATCTCAGGTCATGTGCGAGCCTGCATTCTTACCTACAATGCTTTATTACTACATTCCTCTGTTGAGCAATACTTGGAAGAAGAGGTGAAGGTTGAGATTTGCAGAACAGGCTAGTGACCCCAGTGGCTCACGTCTGGAGTGCCCAACTTGAGAGACACCTCGCTGGGGCCCAATCCACAGGTCCCCTGTATACTCTGAACATCAAGATTCATGTATTACACACCCAGAACCACTGGTCACTTCCAAAAAAAAATCCCAGCCTGAGACCTAGACTACTCTCACAAAAGAAAATCCTAGGTGAACTGTTCATCCAATAGCTTGGTTTTTCTGCTCATGCCTGTTCCCAATGAACGAAACACATCCCTGTGCATCACCTAAGCCCTATTTTGAGGAGTTACACTGGCATACAGCTGAAGTAACACAGTAGTAAATCGGGGCCTGAAGAAGGCGGCTACAGCCTAGAGAGTATCAAGAACTGTGACGTGTCTGGAAGCTAATAAGAGCAGAACTTGACAATTAGAGCG